GAACTATTTTTTTTTCTTTTGTAATAGGTTTTATATAATAAAAAATTATGACATTACTTAAATGAACTACCTTAATATTTTTAGTAAAAAGATAATGTATAAATCAGAGTTTTAAGGCCATATTCTATATATTAATAACCCAAAACTTTTAAATATAATCCAATATACATAGCCTAAGACAAGCTAAATTAAAAATAAAAATAAAAATAAACGAAGAAACAAACGTAAATCGGCAACGCCGTTTCACATCACACATTTGGCGATTCGATCCTTTATAATCACCGATCACATTGTGCATGTGGTGTCATATATTGAAAATGATGTTTTAGAAAATATTATTAATGATACAATTGTGAAAATATATCAAGATATAAGACTTCGTTGGATACAATTGTAGAGACTTTAAATTCATTTATTACTTATACAACCTGATCCCATCCGGACCTGTAACTAGTATTTTTTTATATTATTTTCACTTTCTATGAGTTTCATTAAAATAGTGCAAAATATGATTTTATGTTGTAGACTCGCCACTGATTTTGTGTTATCGATTCAACTCTAGAGGAGCAACAATAAAGATTAGCATATATTTTTTTGGAAACCGAAAACGAATTAAGTAGAAGCCTAATCACAATATTTCAGCGAACACCCCGGGTTCGAGCTCATTTACAGGGTAAACCCAGCCCCCATATGAATTTCTATAGAAAAATTCCTCACATGCGACACCACAATAGGTAGTTTAAGGGAATCGAACTTCTAACCTCACACTCCACATGGGTATAAAACTCGGTGCATCAACCCAGGTAGGCTGGATATCACTTGTTTAGCACATATTGAGGTGGAAAATAAACAATACATTTTTGGGTCATTGCTCTCACTTAAGAATGACAATTTCAGATGATTGGCGACACTTTTCTTTATCCATTTTTAATATGAAAATATGTTGCCTATTTTTTCACTGTTATTAGATAAATGTAATCACAAAAACTATTGACTAATGGTAAATACTTTTTGTATTGATTATATTTTAGTAAAAATTTCCATAAAACTCTATTTAGAATTTAATTTTAAGACAAAACTACAAAAATGGGCCTGTGGTATGCATTTTTTTTCTGGGATTTGGCCCTCCCCAAATTGAAATGACTATTATACCCTTAGTATATTTATTTTTCATTTTTCTTTCTTTTTCTTAAGTATTCTATTATTATTAAATATACAAAGGGTCTCTCTCTCTCTCTCTCTCTCTCTCTCTCTCTCTCTCTCTCTCTCTCTCTCTCTCTCTCTCTCTCTCTCTCTCTCTCTCTCTCTCTCTCTCTCTCTCAACTACCTTCTAAAACATCACCATCTTCTTGTTGCCTTCACAAGATCACCATTATCATTATGTTCCACCCACCTTCACAATGAAGAAACAAATAGCAAACACACCCACCTTCACAATGAAGAAACAAATAGCAGATTATCTCATAAAAACATAAAATGCAAAAGAAAATAAAAATGATGAAAGAGCAAATGAAGTAAACAATAGATTACCCCATTTTTTACCCCCAAAAATTATATTACATTTTTCCAATGTACATAAATTGTTGAACACACCCCTTTATTAACTTGATTTTAACAAATATATAATCAATATTTTTTTCCTTACAATAATATTATACATTCATTTTTATAAATATCACAAATACACACTTTTAATATGTATTTTAATTATAAGATTTTGTAAAATACGTTATCGTGTTTTAAAATTTCAATATGTATTTAAATTTTTATATGAACTTAATACACAAAAACAAACTTTATATGTATAATTAATTAATATAAGTCAATGTATAACAAGATATTACAAATATTATATATTACATTTAAATTATAATTATTAGATAAAAATAAACTAAAAATGTATAAATATATTAAAAGAGGGATTGAAACCGAGAATTCAAAGTTCTTCCCCGTTTTGGAGGATATGGATAGTATTCCACCAAATATGGTGTAATCTATTCATATCCTCTAAAATGGGGGAATGAATAGGGTAGGGTTAGAGAAGAATGAGGAAAATGGGGGAAAATAGGTGTCGTCCTCCCTCCTTAAGGTTAAGAGTTCATGTTTAGTCTGAGACATAAGTGGATTTGGTAGTAGTTTAAGATTAAATTAGATCTGTCGTTCAAAAAAAAACTTGACTACAAAAACCAGAATCTGAAATCAAAACATTATATTATTATTATTATTATTATTATTATCATCCTCATCATCATCTGATCCTTTGTATTTTATGATTCATAGAGAATTGTGCAATGTCAAACCAGAATCCAAAAGTTTTCGTTAACACCATCATCAAAAATCAAACATCTGTAATCCCCAATCTACTGAAAAAGAACCCAAATCCCCGAAGCAATAAAAAAAATTAAAACCTATATCACCATTTTTGGATCAATTGCAAAGGATGACCCTTGTAAGTGCAAGAACCAAACAAGAAACAATGAAGAAAAACAGAGTAATTTCTTCACAGCTTTGCCTTCAACCCTAAACTTTTAGCCCTTCGAAGTGTATTTACTTCCTTCAACAAATAAAACTCAAAACCTTTCTTCTTCAACTCCTCCACACATTTCCCCAATAACTTCCTAGTTTCATTCCCCTCTCCAATAATTTCTCCAGATGCATTTTTGTGTATGTCTTGTAAAGAACGACCTAGATTAATCCCAAAGAACAGAGGAGTGAATAGAGAGATGGGATACATGATCGATTGCATGATCCAAATGAAGACGAAAATGTGATGCTGAAGAGGAGCATTAGAGAGATCGAGTGAAACAGAAAGAAGAACAGTAGATGTGAGTGATTTACTTTCGAACAACATCAATCTAGGTTTCTTTGAGAGCGATTTGATTCTGGATCAGTTCTTCTTTTATCCATTGAAGAGAAGCTTGTGGGTTGGAGTCATGGCAATTCCGTGAAATGGGTTGATGATGATTCCATGATCACAATAGTAATAGCAGCAATATATATATATATATATATATATATATATATATATATATATATATATATATAGACACACACACATGGGCCCAAATTAAATATTTTTTTCCTTTATATTAAATAAAAAAACATAAAAAATATATTAGAAGAGCATTTAAGTCTTTTCAATTTTACAAGGGATCAAAATCACAAACAAATATGGTCAAAATCACCATCAATCTAAAAAAATTGGGGTTTTGACAAAAACATGAAAACAAATCATACCACATGGACCATTTTTATAATTTTGTCTAATTTAAATAATAATATATAGGCAGAACTTCATATATGTCATTGCTAAATATCTAAATATCGTATTTGTCCGACCTAAACTCTAAATATCGTATTTGTCCTTCTTAAAGTTTTTTAATATCATATATATATATATATATATATATATATATATATATATATATATATATATATATATATATATATATCCAAATTTAATTTTTTTGATAATTTTTAACATTTAATAATCTTTTTTTTATATTCTTAAATCATTATAATTAAAATAAAAGATGAATAGATCATAATGCCCTTTAATCTTAAATTCCTTTTGACTACCTAATACATTGATCGTATTTTTTCCCCACTCCCCCAAATCCCCAATTGCTTGTTCGTCTACCTTGAACAGAAGGAATATTTTCGATCGGCCAGTTTCCCCTGTCTTCACAAACATTCACTATGAATGGCTTCACAAACATTCATGTTTTGTTGAAGAATTCTCCATCTGGATTTTCTCCAATTTCAAGTAGCGAACACAGACTCCGAAAAGGGTAAAGAAGATAAACAGACGTACAAATGTTGTGAAGATAACCATAGAAAATGGTAACACATTCTTTGCAGATGCAACCTTAGTTGATATCCCTTTAGGAGTTTTGAAATCAAACACCGTTACTTTCGAACCAAGACTACCTAAATGGAAGGAGGAAGCCATAGCTGACCTTCGAGTTGGAATTGAGAACAAGATAATTTTGAGAAAGTATTTTGGACAAATGTCGAGTTTCTAGGAGTAGCTATAGACACTTCGTATGGATGTAGCTACTTTTTTAATCTTCACAAAGCTACATGCCATCTTGTTCTTGTTTACATGCCCACAGGAAAACTAGCAAGAGATATTAAGAAAATGTCAGATGAGGCTACATCTAGTTTTTCATTTACACAGCTTAAAAAAATTCTTCAAGATGCATCCACCCAAGTAATTCTACAAAAGTTGACTTACTTCCAGGTCTACTAATCGAACACGTGTATATTGAATTTTTTTTCTTCTTTGATTGGGTTTATATAGCTACGATAAAGTAGGAACACCCATGATATGTATGATAAGCTTGTTGGATTAGGTGTCTAAGCCAATAACTGAATTAGTATATACTTGAATTATTAGCAAAGTCCTTTTGGGTTGCCGTCAAACCTAGTAATTGAATATGATGACTTTTAGAGAGAGGGAATGATTTACTGATTTATTGTATGATTAATAAATATCAATAAATGAATTTATTAATATTTTATGAAAATAATATATTAATTAGAAATTGTTATTTAATTAATAATTAATCAGAAATTAAATGGAATTATTTTGGGGATTAATTGGACTAATTAAAAGTATAGGTGTCTAATTGTAATTGTTCAATAGTTGAGAAAGAGGTTCCAGAACCTTCATTGGAAGGGGTGGATGGTTTTTAAGGGTATTCCAGGGCATCTAAAATATTTCTGGCAGATAAATAGGAAGTTAAATAATTACCAATTTGAATTAATATTATTTTATTCAAATTAGCGTTATGTAGGGTTTCCTAACTTACCTATATAAAGCAAGGTTCTAAATGGCGTGAGGCGTGGCGTGGTGGCAAGGTCAAGCCTCAAGCTTAACGAGCCATGACGAGCCATGACATTTTTCAAGACGTGATGTAAGGCGGTGATTTTGTATTAATTTATAATTATATTACCACATAAATATAAATTTATATTAAATATAACTACTTTTTAGAAGTGTTATATCAATAACTAATAACAAAAAGTTAACAAAAAACACAATACATGTATCCTTGATTACAAAAGACATAACAAAGAGCAAAAAAACGTGTCTCAAACGAAAAAGCATGTGCCATAACACGCCATAGCGCGCCATGACACGCCATATCACGCCTTGCCACGCATCACGCCTTACAAGAACGTTATGAAGCTTTTCATAACGGCGAAGCCACGCCTCAAGCCATGGCATGCCTTGGCGCGCCTTTTAGAACACTGATATAAAGACCCCAAGGGCTTCAATTTTTCGGCCACTCCTCCTTTCCTAGAGATAGCCAAAAAAATTCCATCTCCCCTCTCCTCTCTCTTAAGCCTCCTTTTTGCTATCGGAGGCACGGTATTTCTGGTTCTAGTTTCCACGCAACTACAAGAAGGATTGTTTGATTGTTTACTACAACAATCAAGATGTATATTTTTCTTCTATGATTTTCGAAATTATCTAGGGTTATAGGGTTCTTATTGTTCAATAGAATGTTACTTCAATAGAGTTATGAGTAGATCTAATAGGTTGCATGTACCCTTAAGAGTATAAGGATTTATCCGCATTTTTGCATGTAAAACCTATCAGCGGTATCAGAGCGTATGGTAGTCTAACAATTGAATGTACATTGCTTGAACTTGAACAAAACCCAATTGGAGGAAACATAATCGACATTTTGTTGCAGCACCAGGCCGTGGTGTTCTTCCGTCACGACGTGGTGATCTTCGAATTCGCGTCTTTTCCCGTTCCACCACGACGTGGCAATTTTCCGCCACGACGTGGTGGACCCTCTGATTAGCGAATTTTTTTTGCATAATTCATAAATTGTTTAGGATAATTACTTTAGCTAATGTTTTTAATTGTATATATAAAACTGAATAATTATCTTTGTAATCAGATATCCTTATCTTGAATTTGTGAATCATCCTTATGTTTTAATTACATTTAATTATTTGATTAATTAAAAGATAAAGATTAAAAATATAATTGGTTTAATTTACATTAAATTAATTCATTAATTTCGAAAATTTAATTTAAACCTAGTATTTTGAAAAGTTTTTAAAATACACCTTATATATAATATTAAAAGTTAATTACTATATGTATGAGATTAAGTCAGTCGGATCGCTAGTATTCCTCATTCATGAAGCTGAACTATAAGGGGGGGGGGGGGTTATAAGGATTTACTGTCTATAAAATGGTGGTTGAATGGGTGTCCACTCTCACCCACTGCTTCCTTGTTTGGTGGAGGGTCGTTAGCAGAACAGATCTGATAGGACAATAACTTCATTAATAAGTATAATGATATAAAAGTAAGTAAACATTTTTTTATAAAGTCCCACTCGTAGTTATTTTAGAAAAAATGTGAAAAGTATGCTAATCCATAAAATTGCACGTTATACTTTATAGTAGTTAGTGGAGCACGTGTAACCGACACACTAATAGTGACTATAAAGAGCAATAATGGGCAAGCGTGTGTGGTTATCCCGCACATTAAAATGAGATGATAAATAACATCGAGAGTGCCAAGCATATTTTTATGGTTATTCACATCTTGTTTGTGATCCTCGGTATCTCAGTCACAAATAAAAGAGGATAATCTAAGATTGAATATGTCATTGATAGATTCAATGAATCTCAAAAGATCTAGGAATTTCATAGTTCGAATTTGGTAAATTGCTTTTACCTACCTTTATAAATTCACGATAAAATTACGGCATCCCTCTTCTTGGTTGTGAATTGTTATTTTGGATCCTAGCCTTAATTATTTATTATGGGTTAAAATATTAAGGATTATTGTCATCTAACTAAAACTATTTCTTTTTTCTATAGATGTCTACTCCTGATGCTTCTGCTCCTTCGTCGTCTACCCACCACTCGAGTTTCTCCCTACTCTCTATCGTGTCCAAGGTGATATTTTATGGCACCAACTACAATGATTGTATGCACAACATCAAGATGGATCTTCGATTAAAGGGCAAAGAATATGTCCTTGAAGAAAAACTCAGTGAAATCGATGAAGCCAAAGCTACTCCAAAACAACTAGCCTCCTACAAGAAAGACTATGATGATGCAAAAAACGTTTCTTGCATCATGGTCGTTACAATGGCTCCTGAGTTGCAGCGGTTTTATGAGGACTACTGGACATATGAGATGTAACATCCCGAGATTTGCAGGTATTTCCGAATCCTCTATTTTATTATTATTTGTCATTTGTAGTCCATGGGGATGGAACAGTGAAGCCATGAGAAGCCTAAGGGCTAAAGTTGCAACTTTGGGATCAATCAGAGTATGCTAAGCGTACATAAGGTACGATGAGCGTACTACGCGCACCCTAGTACGTTGGGCGTACACACGACAGGTGGAAACCCTAATATTTAGGGTTTGGGTGCTATATAAACGTCCTTATGAGCTCACAAGCCTTCATCATTTCAGCCTCCATAGCTTTGAGCCGTTTCCCCCAAACCCTAACCCCTCTCTTGAGTGTGTGAGCTAAAAGTGTGTGTTTTGAGTAGTTGAAGAAGAAGGTATTGCATCAAGGAGTTGGAGAAGTGAGGCAAGCTTGTAGATCTGAGGTCACTTTGTGCTCTAGAAGCTCCAGGAGGTAAAAAGCTCCAACCTTTATGCTTGTATGATGTAGATATTGCCTTATTAGATTTATTACACCTTCTTTGTCCCAAAAAGTGCCAAGTTTGTGCATGATGCATTTTGGACGTAATAAGTTGTCCTTTCAGACCCTAGGAAGGGTTCTAAATGATAAAAATGAAGTCCCAATGGCTAAAAGTGTCCCATGAAAGTAGTACGAAGGTCTTAATGGATTAAGACCATGT